AATTGAGTTTTACCCGTGGTTATGTGCCATCACAATGAACATATAGGCCTATATATATGTATATATATATATGTGTGTGTGTGTGTGTGCGTGCCGTGCGTGCGTGCGTGCGTGCGTGCGTGCGCGCCGTGCGTGCGTGCGTGGTGTGTGTGCGCGCGTATGAGTGTGTGTGTGTGTGTGTGTGTGTGTGTGTGTGTGTGTGTGTGTGTGTGTGCGTGCGTGTCTGCGCGTATGCGCGTGTGTGCGCGTATAATATTCCGCTTCCTGTCAAAACAAATGACAACTTGTTGTCTTTCCTACGGTTACGCATCAATCGCTTATCAGATTAGTCAACGTTTTATGTGTACTACGTTAGCATGCAGCTACTAGAGTTTGCTCATATGAAATAAACTCGCTCCATATATTATCATCTGGTATGCGTAACAGACACTTATCTGATACGCAACCCTGATAACATCACGATTACAGGATTTCAAAAACTGTAAAAACCGTTTAATGCGAGATTGTTCATAGCTACGTTTGGTCTGCGCGTGATGCCGCCATTGGGCATCCCAAACGTCATTGCGCGTCGTTGTGTATAACACGTTTCGTTGTCACCCAAATATGTTAAAATTTGTCATCTGTATTGCTGCCAAGAACCTAATTCGGCCGATCTCACTGCATGGGAGTAACATATAACAGAAGAATAATATAATGAAGAATGTCTTTCTACCGTACGTGTTACCGTACATGATAATACAAACCGTGCATAACGTCACAGACCGACGTTGCTATATATATATAAATAATCTCATGAAAGCCCCGCCAAAGTCTTGCGCCGTCTGCGTAGACCTGTCATCTATGTTATATCGCATACCTCGTACGTCACCGCGCTTATCGTGTCGTCGATACGGGACACGCAAATGAAAAAACACACATCGTCGAGGAAACACTGCAGCGACCGCCGGAGCGGTGTATTTCGCCGTCACACGTATACAATATTGCAGCACATCATGATCACGTACGTATCCCCTGCCGTTGTTGTTGATAAACACACACGCACACACGCACGCACACACACACACACACACACACACACACACACACACACACACACACACACACACACACACCACCACCACGCACACACACACACACATACACACACACACACACAACACACACACACACACACACGCACACACACACACACACACACACAACACACACACCGCATCATGGTGGCGAACCACGGTGAACGTAGTGCTGGCTGGCACTAGCCACAATTTCCCTTCTCGCTTAACACTACGTTGGTGTAACAGCCGTGTAACAGTCGGAGAGCCTGGTCGGTTTATGCTGGCACGTACACGGAGGAGTGCCGCTCCCTTACAACACGGCAGCATCCACACGGCAGGTGAGCGTGTGTAACGTACAGGTGCGCGTAGAACGAACGTGTGCACACACGTGAAACATTCACTCGCTCGCAAGATCGTCGCTGTGACAACCACCGCAGCTGCACCACTTACTGAAAAACGTCTTTTACGTGTTCGAATCCGATCTCCACTTTTCCTTTGACTTCTGCCATCGCGACGCTGTGCTGAGTGCTAGTCTCTCTTGTCGTGTCCGCCGTTAGCTGCGTGTACACCTTACCTACCTACCTACCTACCTGCGCGCCGCACATCTACTACGTACACGCCCTTTCCACACTGCCGCTACTGTTTGGCGTGACCTCGATTCCGCTGCGAAGCGGTGAGAGCACGCTAGCAGGGACGTGCGTATACGTGTATATACGTACACACGCGTAGCAGCACCGGCAGCGCCCGACCTTTATCACCGCGCATACGCGCGCGAACGCACGCACACACCAGACGCACACGCACACACGCGCGCACAAACGCACGCCCCACACACACACACACACACACACACACACACACACACACACACACACAACACACACACACACACACACAAACATACACACACACACACACACACACACACACACACACAAACAAACACTCACCGCGCACACAACCCAACCCCCCCCCATACATATACAAACACACACAACGCCCCCCCCCCTACACACATACACACGCCTTTGACCGACTCTGCCACTATATATACTCACGGTGGTGGGGGTTAACCTTTGCCCCCCGGCTAGGTGTATTGCAGCTAGAACCCGGCGAAGCTCAGTGCAGTGAAGAAACGCGGCTACAAATCTATTTTGCATTGTCACGCGGAGATCTCACGCACATTACATTCGCAAAATGATTTTCTAGGTGGTCGGCGGTGGATGTTTTCGGGGCATTAATCCTCACCCGATAACGTCTGAGTTTAGCGGACTATATACCCTACATAACATCAGGAGTCTATCCATAGATCTGAGACTCCTGATAACAACTAACGTCCGACCCTCCCTGCTAGATTATACGGAACACACACCTATATATAGGGCCCTTGATATATATATATATATATGAGCCTTTCGAAATATGGAGCCCTTACATATCCGCGACGTTTTACGTTATTGTTAGCTTCTATACGCGCCCACACGTTATAGGTTCGTCAGGTTTTGAGGGTCGCCTATAGCGCCTAAGTTAGCCCCCTTCCTCGCCCACCCCAACGTTTCATATCGTTATGCTTCTTTCTACACACGCCATCACGCTATGTGTGTGTGTGTGTGTGGTGTGTTGTGTGTGTGTGTGTGTGTGTGTGTGGTGTGTCTGTGTGTTTGTGTGTGTGGCTGTGTGTGTGTGTGTTGGTGTGTATGTGTGTGTGTGCGTGTTGGTGTGTGTGTTTGTGTGTGTGTGTGTGTGTGTGTGTGTGTGTGTGTGTGTGTGTGTGTGTGTGTGTGTGTGTGTGGTGTGTGGTGGTTGTGTGTGTGTGGTGTGTGTGTGTGTGTGTGTATGTGTATGTGCGTGTGTGTGTGTGGGCGTGGTGTGTGTGTGTGTGTGTGTGTTTGGTGTGTGTGTGGTTGTGTGTGTGTGTGTGTGTGTGTGTGTGTGTTGTGTATGTGTGTGTGTGTGTGTGTGTGTGGGGGGCGTGTACGTGTGTGTGCGTACCTGTGTATGTACGTGCGTGTACGCGTGTGTTTGTTTGCGTATGTGTGTGCGTGCGTGTGTATGTACGTGTGTGTGCCGTGCGTATGTGTCTGTTGCGTGCCGTGCGTGTGTGGGTGCGTGCACGTACGTATGTATAGGCTCGTCACGCTTGCAGCTGTCACGCGCGGAATTTCATTTCCAAGGCGAGAACATCGACAGGCAGCATATGCAATCGACTCGGACCACTTCTCACCCCTGCTCAAGAATTCCGACAGAATTACTGTTACAGCCCCACCATACGTAGTCCGTGTCCCCAGTGCCATATACAGACCTGCGCCTCCCCTGCAGAATTGCTAGCGTATAGGCCATGGTGGTTCGAGTATAGAAGAATATAGGGCAATAGCTTATCGTTAGCATGGCATCGAGTGACAGAAAGACATCGACCCGACAGAAGCACGGGCACTTGGAACGTTTCAATAATCAAAATGATGGTAACCGAACACGAAATGTATTTTACTACCAAAGTTTTAATGTTTCTTAATTATTATTAATAACTTTCTACAAATGCCGTTCAAATGATCCCCTACAACACACAAGTACACAGTACGAATGCCGCTGTGCACTTGGCACAAACAACAAATTTATAGACGAAAACCTTTACGCCTGGACAGAAGTGCTAGACTAAAGACCATTGTGGTTCGAGTATAGAAGAATATAGGGCAAGAGCTCATCGTTTGCTTCTTAGTCGAGTGACATCGAGTGCTAAGCTCGTCGATCCCACATCGGGGTAAAAGCAGGCAGTGGATCTTCCTTACACAGAGACTGTAGACGGAGAGACGTACAGGTGCCCTTCGCTTCACACATACATCTATATACCTATGCTAAAGTGAAAATTAGGTTAATTCAGGGTGAAGGTGATAGCATTATCCGTCTAACCTTTGCACATACAGCTCTGGCCCTATGTCATAGGCAGAACGTGGTCCTCGTGGAAGGCTAGCGAGGCTATTTCATTAGACCTACGTAAATACGCGACCGGTTGTCCTGCCTCTTCACCTCGTAACGAATAATTGCGAAGTGAAGTGATGGTAATTCCAGTCAACGTAGATACCGGAGGGAAAGCGTGGGCGCAGCGATGGCCTGCTTCCACGGGTCGATATGATTTAGTAATAACAGGTAATCAAATCAAGAGGTAATGAACCATATATAATAACTCGTCGGTAAAAAATAACGTGCGCCAGCGACTGGTCTACGTTTTCCTCAATGCCTCACGTGCACTAAAATCTAACAAGTCATTTATTAGATATATTCAGCTATATATGTTGGGTTATCTGTTCTGCTGCATGTTAACAGACAAGCGTTTAATTTCACAATCGCTGCTACTGATTCCAAGATAAGGTGCTTCCGGTATGTGAGGCATCGTCGTCTAAAGCACAGGTATATTGGCGCGACTACATTGCCAAATATAGCCGCTGCAGATATCCTGATAGCATCATCAACGACCGTGCAATTTTGTTCAATCGTACTCCCGTATATATAGGTATATATACTCGTGTATATGAGCTCCAATTACCCGTATACTGCCTCGCTGTTTACAGAATCACCCTTATTTCTCGGCATGCCCTTATGAGTGCAAGTCGGCCAACATCAGATACAGTAAACCCGGTGGCGGACCGAAGGGTTATGAATGTAGAACTAACGTGTACGTGTGTGTATGCGTGTGCATGCGTACGTACGGGGGGATGTGTACGCGCGTGCGTCTGTATGCACGCATGTGCATGCATGCGTGTGTGCGTGCACATGCGTGTGCATGCCTGCGTGTGTGCGTGCGTGCACATGCGTGTGTGTACGTGTGTACATGCGTGGGCACATGCGTGCGACGCCGTGTGTGCGTGCGTGCGAGTGCGCGCGTGTGTGTATGCATGTATGTGCAATCCGTGTGCATGCGCGCGTGCATGCGCGCGTGCATGCGCCTACCTGGTGAGACAGCAGCTGTTTGACGGTGACGTCGTCTTTGCCGTGCTTCTCAAACTCCGGCCAGTACTTGGTGACCTGGTCGTCGTAGCAGAGGTAGCCCTGGTCGACGAGGATGGCGACGCAGAGGGCAGCACAGCCTGTGCGAGCGAATGCGGGGAATGGAAGTGTTAGCACGAATCTCTTTCTTCCATTTCCTATGTCTCTGCCTCTCTCTCTCTCTCTCTCTCTCTGATCTCTCATCATCATTTGCTCTCCTCTCTGTGCATGTGTTTGTAGTGTGTGAGAGAGAGAGACGGAAGAAGAGGAGAAACACCACACACACACCGCGGCCGCGCGCGCACACACACACACACACACACACGACACACCACACACACACACACACACACACACACACCACACACCATTAGCATTTAGCATAGAGATGATTCATTAGTCATTGCAGGTGCTACAAATATCCGCTCAGCGGCTTTCTGCACGCGGCACGGCGATACCTAGAGCTAGTGCAACCCAGGGTCGCGTCAGTATAGGCGTGTATACCGGAGGGGGAATTACTACGTACGGTGTGACAGACAGCTATACGGTTTTAATCACTCTACCTGTATAAATACAGGTACATTCAGATTCTGATGACACGCATAGAACATATCAAGAGTTAATAATCCATTAGCTCTACTAT